TAAACAAAAAAAAAAAAGGGGGGGGGGGTTAGATAACTTTAAATTAATAATGTGACTAGACTATGTATGAAGCAAAGTACACTACACAGGCAATGTTAAATAGCTTTTCCGATCTGATAATTAATAATCATTGTTTTGTTATATACAGTAGTTGTTCTTCACTTAATAAGAATAATAATTCACACAGCAGTGTTCCTGAGCTTACAGTAATATTGTGTTTGCTGGTTATTGAAGAAGCACTTAAATTATTGAATGCTGACAGTTTTAACAAGAAAAAGGGGAAGAAAAACCTAAGCAAACAGGGAAAGCTTTCTACAGAAATTCACTGCTGCCATGCTGGTTAGTAATGGCTAACATGTGTGCTCCTTGTGTTTTGTTGTAGCCGTCCCCGGGAATTCTGGCGCCTTGACTACTGGGAAGATGACTTGAGGCGCCGTCGACGATTTGTACGGAACCCCCTTGGTTCAACACATCCTGGAGCGACACTTAAAGCTTCCAAAGATCATGGTATGTATCATAAAGATGCATCCTCTTATCAAGCCAGTGCTTTAAAGGGCGTGTCTATTGCATATCTATGTAGGATTATGTGTGTGGGTACAGAAGTATTTATCTGTATAATAGTAATTATTAAATTACATATACATTTTTTACATTAAATACCTGATGTTTTATGTATTTCTAATTTGTATGTAATGATTTGTGTTTATTTTGGTATTACAGGGAAAACTCCAGGAATGTGTTATTTACACTCCAAGAATGCGTGAGAGCAGTGGTACCTTAATTGACCCGTTTTGTTACATGTGCATTATGTAGTAGTAGTTTGTGCAAGTAATTAATAATATAGTAGTCTATGGGACTGCCTATTTCAATTCAAATAATGCACACAGACCACAATTGGCCACTTACAGTACCACTGTGCTTGCGGTGTATTTTTTGAATGTATTCTATATCAAAGGACAACATGGCGGTAGGTGTATTTCACCCATTACACTTAAACTCGCATTCATTCAAAACATAATTCCTGGAGTTTTTTTTAAGCATTAAGTTTAAGGGCTAGGTGTTTGGATTTGTATATGGAGAAGAAGGTGTAGTGCAAAGGTCTGCTTGAATGTAATTGCAGTTAAAAGTGAAGATTATTCCTTGAAATGTATACTGTTCTGCCCATCTGCTCAGTGTATAGGCTCTTACTTCATGTGTTGCTACAGTACACCATTGCACCCCTCTTTCCTTTTGCTGGTTAAACTGGTGATCTGAGAACCCCTGCTTGTGATGCAGGAGGGAGATTCTCAAACACAAAATGTTAGTACTGGGGAGAAACAAATCAAATTAAAACTGTAAGATCGGAAGTTGCAAAACATGCGATTCTTAGAATTCTTTAACCCTCTAAGGTTGTCTGTGGATAATGTTTGCAGAGAACACAAATTATGGTCAATTGAGTGATTTGTATTTACCTGTTAGCTTAAATTGTATATCCAATGGGGTTGGGTTGATAAATAATCCCAGGCACCATACCCCTCCTAATGAAGTATTAAACAAACATTATGCGTGAACGCACATCAAATGTTGTAATTTGGCCACTTACATAGTACAAGTAAGGTATGGATTGACCGATAGAGGTATTCCCAGTGGTGGGGGCCGCAGAGGAGACAGACTTTGTATGTGTGGGTGCCTAAAAATCCCTGTGTATTCACAAAATGTTACCTTTAACAGTTAGGGATATCTTGGAACTTTTTTTACTTTTACTTATATTCAGCCCTGAAAGCTGATTGACGAGAACAAATGGTAGTAGTAGCAGCTGAAATACAGAGATAATTTGTTCCATGAAATATTTACCCATAGTTAATACATTAGGAAACAAGGAGTCTAGGTAAACATTGTAGTTCTTGTGATTACGCTCACACTTCTGTCAAAAAGTTCAAATTAATTTAGACGGCCCCATTATTCTGTTTCTAAATTGTTGGTCATCTGAGGCTTTACTGCATGTATACACTGAGTGGCCAGATTATTATAACCACCTGACGTTTGTAGGCAAATTAGCTATAATTTTGCGCTGAAGTTGCCAGAGGGCCAGAACAATATAAATAGGGAAGCAGGTTGTTTACCACGACAGTAGAAGTGATATTTTTTTCTGAAGATATGGGTAAACAACGTGATTTAACAGCCTTTGAACGTGGGATGATTGTTGGCGCTCAAGCCATGGAGCGAGTATTAGCAAAACAATTTGTTAAATGTTCAAGAGCAGCTGTTGTTAAAGTGTTTAAAGACTGGGCTGTCAGCCGAAAATCTGGGTCTGAACGTGCGAATTGTGGCCATTGTACTATAAGCTGGTAATTTTTTTACCTTCATGCATTCTCTGCATGAAGGTAAAAAACGCCCAGTACCTTTTTCTGTCTGCCCCCCACACTTACCTCTGCACACCGCTGTCACCACTGCCTGTCCCTGAAGCTATCCTCCGTTCCCCAAACTTCCTGGTTGCTGGGGGAGGATTATTATTATTATACAGGATTTATTTAGCGCCAACAGTTTGCGCAGCGCTTTACAATATAGGGAAGACATTGAAGACATTACAATCACAATACAAATCAAGACAAGATGGTAAGGAGGGCCCTGCCCCTGAAGGCTTACAATCTAAAAGGGAAGGGGAAGTGATACATGAGGAGGCAGCTGTGTGAGGATACTGAGGTCAGTCAAACTGTTGTGAGGAGGGGTGTGGCCCATTGACACACACAGCTACTTGCGGGCACGGCAGGGGAACGAGCATGCAAGGGTGTCTCCACAGAAGCAGCTTCACTGATGGAAACACCCGTGCAGGGACGGGAGGAAAAGTGATGTGGGAACCCACTACAGTATGAGGAATTGAAACATAAAAAAAAAAAGAACCAAGGATCTACATCCCATGTGGGCCTCCCATGCATAAACATGCACTGCAAGCACTTTTTTTTTCAGATTCATTCTGTTTATCATTTTTTCCAGTTTACTGTTGTTTTAATGAAAAGTGATAAAAGTAGATGCTCTGCATATTGTAATATGAGGACCAGTTCTTTTCAAACATATTGATTGTTTTTAAAAAACCACTATAACAGCATTTGAAACAAAATATTAGGTGTTGAATGAAGCCTTCATTAGATTACTTTAGCACTGTTAAAAAACAGAAATATTTTCATGACGGTATGTTACATATTGTCTTTTTTTTAAATGCATTTGTACCAAGTAAATTGAATGTCATAGATGTAAAATTTACAAAGATGATATACAGTAAGTCACTCACTTTTGACAAGGGCTGCTCTGCTTTGGAGGATGAATTCTATGTCTTCTTTATTGTCATTGCATATTCTGTGATATATAGGTGCACTGTAGAAAGTTATATACCTGTGCTCGCATCTCCATTGACATTAAATCTTCCTGCTAAAAATCTATATCAAAGCACGTGAAGCACTGTCTGCTTCAAAAGTAAAATATTACTGAATGGCTCCTATGCTGTTTTTCATTATTTGTAAGAGAGAGATTTCTACGCATTGGAGCAGCTTGAAAAATAAATATAAAAATTGTGCTTTAAATCATACAGTATTGCATAAAAATTACATATACAGCAATCATAAGGAGAAAATATATTTGGGAATGCTGGTTTAAAGCATGAGCAGTTGACACCTATCTGACTTGAACTTGTCTTTCTGTGCTACATATGTAAAGTTGTCTTTCCTTAAGCAATAGGTTGTATTTAAATGACATCTTTGTGAGTTAGAAATTGGGAACACCACTTTGCAACATGATTTAAACATGGTAGAGTCTTCCCTCATGCATTCCCCTAAAGTAACAGTGGGACTTCTATCCTGCTAGTGTTTAGTCATTCAACAGAGGGCTCATTCACACCAGATGAGATGCAGTTTGCTACATTATAAACTGCATGTATACTGTATGGTACTTTAACAATCCATTCATGTCACCGGGGGGACACAGACTTTTTGAGGGCTGACTTTGCAGTGCTACAAGAGACCCTAAACTCAGTTTAATCTTAAAAATGCATTCAAATACTTTAACTATTAACAAAAATGTTGCTTATTTCTGTATCACTTTGCTGTAGATCTTCAAATCAACTCTGACTTTGTTTCCCATGGTCTCTGTGTGTGTTGTAATGTAGCCGCCGCTCCAAGCTTGCACCTGTGATGGACTACTATTTTATATTTAGTTTACTAATTTGTATTGAAGTGTTAGTCGATCACAGGAGCGAGCTTGGAGTGGTGGCTACTCTACAACACACACAGGGACCATGGGGAACAAAAGTAGCCACCCTCCAGAAGGAAGGACAGTGTCAGCATCAATTCAGAGATTTGAGGATCTACAGCCAAGTGATGCACAAATAAGTTACATTTTTGTTAACAGTTAAGGTATTTGAATGCATGTCTAACTGATGCAAGCACCAAGGCAAAAGTTCAGGTGATCCATTAGTTTATAGGGTTATGGATGGTTAGGCTTTGGGTTAGGGGGTTACATTTAAGGCTAGGGTCAGGACAAGGTTGAGTGTGGGCCTTATGTTACTGTACTGTATGTAAACCTTAACAATGAAATATTCTTATTTTGCTACTTTTCAGTCAGTTAAATATAATGAAAATGTTTTGTGCAGATGAACGGGTGGCCCTTATTGGCCGATTGTTGCGATGACAATTTGGATTACCATTACCTTCTCTCTTGTGAGAGTGAATTTTCCTTCGTAGGAGAGTGTTCAAATCTAGTTTACAACTGATAATGAGATCTGCCAGCACAGTACATACAAAGTTAATTATTAACCTTGCAATTATTAACACCTTTTGCATTTCAGAGGAAGATTCACAGGAAGAAATGTTTTTCTTTCAGAATAGAGCAAGTAATATGTGAGCTGCATTTTCAGAGTCCTTTTTGTTTCTGATTTAGGGATTGATAGACCATATTTCACTAGTTAATCCCTTGACAACAGTTATGAGATAAGTGTGCTTCAGGATTTCAACAATGGTACATAGCAGGGGGAGGCAACCTTTTGAACCTACTGTGACAAAAAAATGTTTAAGAAATTGAGGGTGCCGTACAAGGCCAAAATAAAAAAATACAGGGCCCTGTGAAACCTACTTCGCAGAGACCCACACCCTTTGGACAACCACCAAACCTCAATACTTTAGAACTTGAGAAAGAGAGACACCTCAGCTAGACTAGGAGCTGCGGCATGCATTGCGCATCATAGCGAAAAGTGGGCATGATTCAATTACACTGAACATTGGCAATGGCTTAATAGAGCCTTCACCTACTTGTAAAACCACCTTACATGTATGCCTCATTCCTATACGTCTTGCATATAGTGGCTAAAATAAGAATACAGACACACAAACCAAAAAAAAACCCATTGAGTTCATCAAAATACCGCAGGGATTGGTGTTAAGTGCTGTAAATTATCCCCAGGGTTGGTGTCCGTGCAACTAAATTTTACCAGGATTGGTATCCGTGCAGCATAATACTCCCAGAATTGGGGTCAGTGAAGC